AAGCCCCACATCGTTCTACAGGAAAAGATGTGTCTTTGTCACTCTTCCTTCCTGTTCACCATTATTCATAACATTGGCCTATTTGTTTGATTATACTGGTGATGTTTGAAATCAGTTTTCTTTTCTCTGTATGCTCTTTGTGACTCTAAAACACATAAGTGTAAGTAACAATAAATTTGAAATAACAATGGATCTTGATGATGGGAATCAATCTCCAAAGTGGACCAGTCAACAAGTTACCTCTCAAGCTCTTTAAATCAAATTTATGAATCTTTGGGGCTTGTGAAGAGAGTGTGACCAGAGGCCCAACCAGCTCTAAAATGCCGCCATGCAGAATTACTGCACCCATGTTCAGATAAAAAAACTGAACTGTGAATAAAAACAAGTGCAAATAGAGAGATGCTTGTGAGCTAGTCCTAGCAGGCACTGGTCTAAGCTGCACTGGTTTCACACTTGGCACCCATTGTCCAACCAATCACCTGATTGAAGTTTCCTTCCCATTAGCAGTCCATTTATGGTGCAAGATTTCCGGTCTCTCCTTCTGCCCCGATATTACTCCCTGCTGCCTTACACCAACACTGCAATCACACTTCTCATCTCCCCAGCACCCACCTGTATGTTCAGGCTGAGAGGTTTAAAAAGTATTAGCTGGTCTCCCTCGGAGATTTCTGCATGTTAAATAAGTCTGCAATGAGCGGTGACACCAAATGCGAACCATGTTTTGCTGTTGCACTAAACATTTGAAATTTAGGATGCACAATTTAAGCTTCATATAAAAAGAAATTATCAGTTGATCGTGGAAGTGTTTTAATAACAAGAATCAGAAGACAGAAACTGACCACACAGAACATGCTTTTTCAGCAGGCACAAAACCTGACAAGCAAGAACTAGAAGATCCCCCACTGAAGTTAGGCCGCCTGTGTGGGAACACGTTTGCCCATGAAATATAACAAAGGAAAAAGACAAGGGGATAAGACCAAAATGTTATTTTCATGTTTCATCTAAAATGTTAGGAAAGAAATCTGAGCAGGCCTGCAAAGCTAAATTATCGCTGCTGCACTTAAGTGTAAAGATATTCTGCGAGTTCTTAATAAAGGGCCTGAGATTCTTCATGTTATGTATGTTTCCCTTACGTGACCTCAAACCCAAGGTACGAACTGAACCGTAATTTTTGTGCACCATGACACCCCCAGTAAACACATTAGTTTGACTCAAATAGCACTAAATCAAACTTCTCATAGTCAGATCAAACATACCCAGACGATGCAGTAAGGATATACGACCTCTTATATGGCCTCAACTGGGCCAAAGTTCCATGTCTGCACACCAGGTTTTGAGCCAGTAGCTGAAGAGCACAAATGCATGGCTAGGAAGCTAAGTAGAAAACAAAACCTTGATGGATAAAGACAGTGTGTCAAAAAGACACAGGTTCACAGTTTGATCAACAGGTTGAAGGAACATAGATTTTACCACAGACATGTGGACTTTAAAGGTTATGCTGAGTTTAGGGCCTGGAGGCTGGAGGAAAACTGTTACATGAAAAGTATTGTGTGCACAGGAGGGCTTTGGCTTGCAGTATGAACAGAAAAATAATAAATTAAGTGTTGGGGAAAAAAAAAATATCTCCATATCATCAGTCTAAACTTTACAGTCAAGGCTTTCAAATCAAGCGTCGCTGTCTGACATTAATCTGGAATAGAAACACTATAGAAATTTCACTTTCAAAGAACTCCAAAGTTTTATCCTAAGGGACTGTGCACAACTATTTATAGAGAACTTTTAAGATGCACCAAGACGAGACAAGCAAAAACTCCCTTGACAGCCAATTGTAAATAAAACTAGCCTCTCATGGTGAAGACGATTCAACATCAAACAGAGATTTCTCAAGTGGCAGATGGTGAGCCTCCTTTCTCTAATCATAATTTTAGATTAAAAAGGTTCCTCTAAAAATAAGTTGCCTACTAGCTCTTTTGCAGATCCCTTCTTGTCAAGGCCCCTTCATTATCACTTTCAGTTTGTAACTGATAGGTAATTAATAGCTGAGGGGTTCATAGTCCACGTACAGTGTGTTGTACGAAAATCTGCTTATGATAACAGCTGTATAGATAAATCAAACTCCAATGCTGATCATGATGTTTCATGCAGAAACCCTCCAGTATTATAATTTCTTAAACATGCTTCTTGAAAAATAAAGATTCACAGTCTGTGAGTTGCGCCAGTTGGAGAAGTGTGTGTGTCATTTTTTACCATCCAGACTGGTGTTATTTTTAAACAAAGCCTGACCTGCACAGGTTGTTAAACAGCATGCAAGGGCTATTATTATTTGCCATACCATGTGTCCACACCACAAATTAAAACTTGTGTCTCAACAGTGTGGGAGAGGTGATTCTAACAGATCTCAGTAGGGTTTTAGCTCGTACTAAAACTGTTATCTTTGAACATATTCTCAGTGTGTTGACTCTCAGGATACCTCCAAAAGTTCTGCCTTTCAGATTCCTTTGAATATCGTTTAGCAAAGGTTGCTTAGATAAGACGACATCAACTTTACTAAAAAGGCATTTGGAACAATATATGACAAAATGTATCAAACTCTGCCAACCCAATGTCAAAACAGAAAAAAGTATCATGACACTTAACTTCAGTAAAGGTAACAGTATCCCAGTGTCTTAATAAAACACTATTAGCAAAGCCTGAGATTTATTCATTGTTATCTGATTAAATTAAGTTCTATAGCAGAATATGTGTTTATTTACTGTAAAAATTTTCACTCTCAGTTTCTTTTTAAAAATGCCAATCTTAGATATAAAATTAAAGCTCCTGAATGGAAATTTTAGTTTGTGTCAATTTTGGCGCCACCATGTGGACAAAGTTGAAAACCTGGTCACTCTGCTAGTCTTGTCTTGAACATATAAGTGTAAGATTTGCTTCCTTTTTTTAACAGTCAAATGTGTCTCTTGGAGTAAATATTTCAATTGATGTTGAAAGCAGGAGGACGACTATGGCTTACTTAACATCATCTGGCTAAACCCTGATGATAAACCTCTTCATATACCTCTTCAAAGTGGTATCAGTGACAGTTTGCATCTCTTTAACTAAAGCTCCTAGTAGGGCCTTTGAGATTAAAGCTCCTGTATGGAACCTTTCCACTTCGCATCAGTTTATCACAGATGAGCTCAGTCCCAGAGAGGCCAGCAGCATTTCTAGCTGTTGTTGAGATCTGGCTTTGGGTTTGCCTGGTAGAGTTGGAACTTGTACTTGTAGATGTAGAGACAAACGGTGTTGAGTGACAATGAATTTCTGAAGTGCTCCTGAACCCATGTGGTAAAATCCTTTACACAATGACGTTGGTTTTAATTGCAGTGCTACCTAAGAGGTCAAAGGTCACTGGCATTCAATGTTGTTTTTTGGGTCTTGCTGCTTATGATTAGGGATTTCTCTGGATACTGTGTATCTTGACACTGACAAACGTTCTTAAACTGTTTGAGCATTGCACCAAGTCTTTCAGGGATACTCCTTTTATACCCAATCATGACTCTCACCTGTTCCCAGTGAACCTGCTCACCTGTGGAATGATCCAAATTGGTGTTTTTGAAGCTGTTCTAAATTTATCCTAGACTTCAGTTGACCCTGTCCCACCTGAATCAATAATTTAATTCTGAAATCAATATCTTCTGTCAACTTGTTTGTCTTGATAACTGAGAAAAAGGGAGAATGTAAGGTCCTTACATACTGCTTTCCGGGGGCGAAAAAGACAAGTCCCAGGTGGAAGTGAGAAGACTGACACAACAGCAGACTGACTGTTTTTCAGTTCTGATTAGACACTAGTGTTGAGATGGATGTCTGTCATGATGAGTCCGGGCCAGTACCAGATAAGCACATTAAACTATAATCCATAAACGTAAGGTAACAACCAAGACCTAATGGTGCTGTGACAGCAACGTGATTGAGTTTGAGACAGTGAAAATACATATGGTATGTTGTATCTGAACAGGTTAGCTTACGAGCTAAAGTAACTTAGCACAGATGGAAGTTAAAACAAAGACGTTTAGCAAACTGTTAAAGCACACAAACTATCTTCATATGAGAAATCTGAAGCTATGACTCTCCACAAGTTGTCCTTCAGGTTGTTATCTTTGTAATATATGTGTCTTTTATCCAAAAGCACTCTGTTCTCCGAAATGTAAACAATCAGCCGGTCGGCCATGTTGGGTATACCGGTGAATCAGACGTCGCAACAACACGGAATCTGATTGGTCAGAAGTGGACACACAGTATGCAAAACTTAAAAAAAAACTGACCATGATCCGAAAAAATAAATGCCGCAATATCCCAGGACGGGAAAACGTCGCTGATGTGAACGCTTGTATTGACAGGACACAGGTTCGTAAAAAAATATTGACGTCCGAAATAACCGTACATAAAAAAACGGTCCTGGTGTGAAAGGACCTGTATAGTGATTGAATGGTGATAAAAATAAAAGTCCCAACACAGTAAACAGGATGGATGCAGTGGAGTCTTGTTTCACCTTCAGCTCTTTGCTCTTCAGTTATGTAACCCATCATTAGTTAACCTCAGTTACTTTGAGATGTTCCACCAAATGTTTTCTTTTAGCATTTCGCAACTTCTCAGTCTTTGGTTACCCCCTCTCCCAACTTGTGACACTTGTGTTGACATCCATTTGAAAATCACTCTTGAAATACAACATTTCTCAATTTCAACATGTATTTTTTTCTTTGTACTACTTGTGATTAAATATGAGGATTTGATATCTTGTAAACCATCACTAGCCCATCTGTTTTAGCATTTCATAAAGCAGATTTTCCAGATTTATTTACCGATGCTGTTTGGCAGGTTACTTAAAGACTCCTTACACGAAAAAATAACGTGAAGGTTGTAAATAGAGCTACTACACTCCCCCCCCTCTCTCTCTCTCTGAGACATACACTCTTATTGGTCCCTCTCTTCCCCTGATTCCCCTACTCATTGGCTATCTACTAAGTGTTGTCTCTCTCTCTCTCTCTCTTTCTCCGTGTGACCAGCTCCGCGAAGTGAAGCAGCCTCTGAGGTGTTTGACGTCCTCCATCACAGCCAGGTGCATCACACCCGTGGCCACCCGTGTCAACAACTATTTGCTCAGGTACCGAGCCCTCTCAGAAAAAAGTAAACTGCTATTCCTGCTGAAAGAGTTCGTTGAAGGAAAGAAAAGTCCGGGAACGCACAGTGCTGTTACGCATGGAAGTTGGAATCATCCTTGTAGAGTTTACGCATGGCTTTGTCTCGTCCCTCTGGAGGATGCGTCTTGGCGCATGAGAGCATATCAGGGCGTCAAGAGAGAAAGTGAGAAATGATGCGGGTGAATGAGCTGCTGCTCGGTTACTTTCTGGTGAAAGTTGTGGTGTGTGACACTGAGGGCGAGCAGGGTCAGACCGTCGACGACTTCATGTTCGTTACCGGGTTTAACGACTCCAAGGAGATGGAGAGCGTGGTGACGGAGAGCCCGCACATGGAGGACAAGTGCCGAGGCTACTACGATGTGATGGGCCAGTGGGACCCGCCGTTCGTGTGCAGGACGGGCAGCTATCTATACTGTTGCGGCACCTGTGGCTTTAGGTTTTGCTGCGCGTTCAAAAGCTCCCGGCTGGACCAGACTACTTGTAAGAACTATGACACCCCGCCGTGGATGATGACTGGGAGACCCCCGCCGAAAGTGGACCCGGCGCTGGAGACAGCGAAAGATAAGACCAATCTCATTGTGTATGTGATATGCGGGGTCGTGGCCATAATGGCACTCATAGGAATTTTCACCAAGCTCGGTTTGGAAAAGACGCAGCGTCCGCAGCAAGATGACATGTCAAGGTTGGTTCTCACTTTGCTCTTTTTGTCCGCATTGTTTTTTTGTAACTCCTGACTGCTTTGGGTTATTTCATGTTCTATTATGTAGCTATATCCTACTACATTGACGCCAAAGTTCTGGGTTCTCCTTGCTCAATTCCTGTGCGTAAAACCACGAAATACACTAAATAACTCGCAGAGCGGCAAGTTTACAATGTGAAACACAATGAAATTCACGTGGTTGCGCTTAAAGTAAATTTTCAGAATGATAGAAACATCATTTCAATTTATCACATTACAACTGACAGCAATAGGGTCAGCTGCTCTGAGCATGAAAAATGTAAATTCTTTGATGATACTCAAACTTATATGGATTTTCAACAGCATACAGGACACTGGCTTTGGTCTGAAACTGTTTACATTGATTAGATTAATACTATTTGCTTTTTATTGGAATAAAGCACATGATATATTGGGGTTTTGGAGTGTACATTGCAAAATAAAAAACAAACAAACAAACAAAAAGCCTCCTTATGACACCTGTGACTGACAGAGTTTTACAAGAGATGCAAATGTATGCTTTGCTGCCATAAAATATACTGGGTACATTAAGCTGTTGCATCGTTCTAATTCACCTCCAAGCTTTTACTTTCCATTATCTCTAACATCGCTATATGTGTAACTGAAGTGGCTTGAAGTAATCATTAAGCAAAGAGCAGATACTTAACAGCGAGGCTCTGGCTTTCATCGGTGTGACTCCACTTGACTCTCTTTTAATACCAAGAACTGTAATTTTCTCATCGTCTCAAGCCATTGCCCTCCAGTGACGCAGGGCTGCCCCCTTTAACAAACTTGTATTGGATGTATATCAGAATCACTGTGCCTACTTTCACCATTAATTACTATTTTTTAAATTATGTATATGTCTTTTCGTGCAACCCATGTTGCAGGGGTCAGATTGTAGTGTCTAAACATATTTCTTCTTGCTCAGCTCACTCAGAGCCCTGATTGTGATGAAGGTGAGGCCAAACATGTAAACAGGTAAAATTTAAGACCTGTGGGAGTGGAACAGCTTTAGAGCTCTGGTGTAACTTTTAGTCAAATGAAACTGTGCCCCATGAAGGTGTAGGCCTTGCCACAGCGGTTGTTAGTTTGACTCCCTGCCTTGATTCCTATACCTGGTTTCCTGTCTGTATTCATGTCCCCCTAAAGGTCAAAAAGTAAAAAAATAAAAAAAGATGTTTAAGGGGCACCATTAAAACTTAGCTGCAGTCCCATTCGTAGCCACAAAAAAGATGGACAACAAGACAGCTCTCCAAAAGTAAAGGGAGAAGATTTGGCGCCCCCTCTGTTGACTGGCTGTAGTATTGGCCATAAAGACACATCACTCAAACTTTGAAATCAAAACAGACATAATTTTTTTTTTCTCAAACATCATCACTGCTGTTAGTATGGTTAGTTATCATCATGTTGATTTATGTCCCAGTGTTCATTATCCTTAATATTTGGTTCAAACTAGTTTTTTGGTGCTTTAAAGAAGCATACCTGTATGATTGACAACGTTGCTGCCAAATGCAGCAAACAAATTAAACAACCTCTAGCACAACAGTGACTAACCTTAACCACAAGTGTTTGCTGAAGCTGACACAAGATTATGACCGATGTATAATAAGGTATCACAGTTTTTCTTAAAATATAACAATTTAAAGCTCCTATAAGGAGTTTTTTTTACATCTATGAAATAGAATGAATATCCTATTGATGATTTTCATGACATCTAAAAGTAAACAAGACCTTTGGTGACAAATTTGATGGTTTTTTTTGTCCTTAATTTTAACTTCTGAAACCTGTGGTAGGAGGTATGTGTCAGCCGAGCAGCTAAGGACATAGCTCTCTCTAAATTTTTACAATTTATACATGAAATATTCAAATTTTACTATCTAATGTCAGATGGATTAAATCTTTTTTATCAAAATTAGCTACTCAAGCATGTAATGAACAGGACAAACAAAGGCATAAAAGGGGTGAAAAAACTGGGGTTAAAATAAAAAAGATGAGATGAGAGATTTGATCAAATTTAATAAATCCTTTCGGGGAAGGTTTCCTAAAGAAAATTTACATTTAAAATTAAAATTGCATGTAGAATTAAATTTATGACTGCAATTTCTGTCAATATATTAAAACTTGTGTAAAACCATAGCAAGTGACTGTTTTAGATTTGACTGTTTAGATATTCTGGGCTGTCACTTAGGATGGGAAAACATGGGAAAAATCTTTTTAAATAAAATGATGATGGTAGGCTATCAGATTTAGGAGGGCAGATGAGATTTCAATTTTGTCAAAATACTATAAATCAGCCCAATTACCAGGCCAATACCATAATCGTTCCATATCTAAACTTAGATTAATGGTTTTATACTTTGGATTGTTTCAAATAAAAAGGGGAAAAACTTGATCATGTCATCTCAGAGGACTCATGTTAAAGGAAAGCTGATGTACAGTATATATTTCACTCATAACTGACTTATTTTCTTACTTCAATCATTCTTTATGTTTCCAGAGCTCTTGCACACGTTATCCGCCATCCTGCCTCTGAGCATTCGGACGACATTGGACTTGGCCAGCACTACGAGAACATTCAGACCAGAGTCACAGTCAACAGCCTCCGTAAGTTCTGTGACAACAGCTGACAGAGCACCTAGAGGCACACCTACATGCACTGTCTTCACATGACACATTGGTTTGTTCAAACAGTTGGCGCCAAATCAGAACTGCACCTACCTCAATCGTAACACCACAACCAGTTTCAGCTGATACCCAGATCTACATTCTGAACTGTGTGCACAAATGTTCGATACCCTGCCTGTGCTTTAGAAACCAGCAGGAAAATGTTCATTCATGCTCCTGCTGGCATGTGAAGCAATTACTGAAGCCCTCAGCAATCACTTAATGTACACACTAATTACCCCAGACAAGCTGGAGCTCTGTATCTAAGCCACACTTATTATTATATGTAGTATGGCCTCACACATTATACCACACTCATGTTTTCCCATTCATCAGCAGCAGCAGCTCCTCCACACACCCACGCAGGGAGTGAAAGAAAGAGTTCTTATTAATGCTAACCTGCTCAGTGTGCTGACAGCTCCAGTCAATGAAGGTCTCTCTGCATCCTTGCTGGATAATTACAGCAAGCGGCACCTCATTTCAAAACTTAAAGGTAGAGTCCTGTTCTTCCTCGAGCCTCTCGTTTGACTGAAGATTTGGATTCAATAATAAATCAGTACAGTGGAAAAGTACAACTCATATCCAGAGACGACGTGTGCCTCACAAGTTAGAGTGTTCTCATCTGAGCTGAAAAGAGCAGCAGGTGATTCACTGATTAGTCAGAAAGCTTTGCTAATTAGTGAAAACACCTGGTGTAATCTGAGCTCGCAATAAAAAGCTGCCTGTTCCCGGCGCACATGGCACAGGACTGTCATTCTCAGATTACCTCATTACACAGAACCGGGTTTTTCTTGTGCTAATAGAACAACATTTGTGATGAGCAGACCTTTGCTGTAATTAGTTTGGAAATATGAAATCCCAAATGTGTGTGTATTTCACATCATGATAAATGAATCCTAAATATGCAAGAATGGGTAACAAACTCTGCGAACATAGTCACACAATCTCACAAATTGCTAGGATTACAATTGTGGATCATAACTGTGTACAAACGCGCACATCGTTTGGATGTAGAAATGCCAGGACACAGTCTGATTTTAGTGCGTCCTTCAAAACTACAACCTAGATCTAACTATTCTACCTTCAAAAACTGAAAGCTGCTCTATTTTAATTTGTTTTGATCCTTTAAATCAATTAAGTAGACATGTCAGCACTGACAAGATAATAATTAATTGCTCTAAAATCAGAGAGCTTTCTGTCCTACCTTAGCTGCTCACAGAATAATTCATTAAATCCTATTGACAGGCTCTTTTTTGTAGTGCTATTCAGCTTGTAGGATGCCAGTGTCAGTGTCTTATTTCTTATAAGCAGTATAACCGTGAGCAAGAATAGAGTAACAAAGTGAACTTACAGTTGTGCAAAACTTTCAGGTTACATATTTTTACAGCCTCACCTGTAGTATGTGAGAAACAGTGTGTATTTTACAGTGTATACATCTGTATGCTTTTGATTATAGTGTTATTTCCTGTATATTTGTGAAGCTAAAGGGAGTAACACACAATTATACCTGTGCAAATGAAAATGAACATCTGTTCTGTTCCTTTCAGCAGGGTAGGACTAAAATAGCCAGTTGAGCACAAAGGGTTAAGGTGCCAGCATGCAACTTTTCGATTTCAGTGTGCGTGCCAGCATGTTGTGGTTTAAACACTTTGGTGACAAAAGCTTTTGTGAACTCACTGAGGAACTTGTGTCCTGATTTTAAATCCCAATTTTCTTGCCTGTCCCTGGAGTAGATACAAAACATATCATCACTGAAAAGCAAATACAGCCACCGAAAAGTGATGCCACGCCTCCGAAACAAGAAAGGGAACATTGAACCGTGGAAACAAATGTGCAGATCCCACCCACATCCATATTTCTTTGAGTCTGGCATTATTTATATGTATATATTTATATATATATATATATCAGTGGCGGCTGCTGGTCTTTCAAGGAGGGGAAGCTCATTTTTCTGGCCTACATCATAATTGTATTTGTTTATTAGTATGTAACAGAACAGAGTCGCCAAACACAACGGCAGTCGTTTTTAACAAAGACAAAAGTCACTGAGGATCGGTAAAGTCTCTGGAGCAGTTAAGAACAACGGAATGAATGACTTGGAAAATGCTCTGGTACATGTTTTATTCTTCAAGATCGCTGATTCGCTTGTTTGGCTGTCAATCAAAAAAGGATTTCGCCTCAGACAGCTCATCCAATCATGAATGCAGAAGCTTGGAGTCCGGGAGAAAGTCGGGACCGCCCTCTCGCCATAGAACTCCAGTGAAGCTTAGCTTCCATTGGGCGGGACAAAGCCCAGCATTTATCCAATGAGCGTCTAGTTTCGCTGCTGGAACAACCCACTTTAAGCTTCCACATTGAAGTCAGCAGAAGCCCAGCGTCCGACTGTTTGAAGCGCTGAGGCGCTGCGAGGATGAATGAGAACGAAGTTATGCCGGTTACCTGTGATTATCAGCTTCTTATCACAGTGTCTGAACAAAAGTTGAAGGCTTTCTAGTGCGTATTTAGTTAATGAAATGTACACACAGCCGTACGTATTTCACCACTTTTTCTTTTTTTTGGGGGGTGACATATTAAGGGAAGCCGAGCTTCCCTTGCAGTCTTAGAGCAATCGCCACTGATATATATATATATGTATATATTTATATATATATGTATATTTTTTCCCTTGATGATCATGTATGAAGGTATGATAACTTAAGAGATGCTCTATACCGCAGTGCAGCCAACACTTGCTGTTGGTGAAAGCACCTCTTACAATGCATCATGAACCCAAAATTTCAACTGGAAAGACAAATTTGAAACCAGTACTTGCTGGACTTGGCTTTTACTGCCACCGCCTGGATACCCAACAAGGTCTGCAAAATATAGTCCATCTATCCTGGAGGTGTATATCATTTTTAGGTGACCACATTCAGTTCCAAGCTTGCAAGAGTATCTAGATGAATTAGTTCTTTTCAGCTTAATCGGGATATTCAGATTTATCAGCACGTCTTTGTTTTGTGACCTTTGCTGTCGAGATCTGGGGCATGCAGGAAGGTTACAACAGAAACAGTGACAGCTAAGGGATAATGATTATTTTCTTGGCAGCAGCCCGTGCAAGGTTACAAGAGGTGTTTTTTTTTTTTTCTATGCTGCATGGATCTGTAGTAAAGTGGTTCCCTCCAGCTGTGCTTTCTTGCAGCAGGTGTGACTTTTCCACAGCTTCAATGATGGGTGCCCCTCAAACAAATCCCTGTCTGATTAGGCTATAAGCTCTCGCCCTTCTCAAACTGTCTGTAATATTTTTTTTTTTTAAACTTTTGGCCACCAGTGCATTTGCGTCCATGTCCTGCTGGTAGAGAGCGTCCACGGGGCAATGGCAAAGTGTGGCCTCTTTTTGCTCCAGGCGTTCAGCCAGAGAGAACAAAGTCTGAGCTCGGTGCCAACCCTCCACTGGTGCATAACAGACCATTTCCTCATGACCAGACAGAAATGTATTTCAGCAGCATTAGCTCTGACAGCAGCTGAAAAGTCAAATGTAGAGCTTATCAGGGTTCAATTTTCCACCTGCCATATAATGTCGACTGAAAAGTGCACTGAAGCCGCTGGTCTTTGTGTTAATAACCACAAACTGGCAAATCAGAGGGGTCAAGAGTATCTGGATGGTGATGTGTGAGTTGTCTCAGTCTGAATATCTTTTTGAGAAAATGACCGAATAGATGGATAGACTGCATTTTATTTTCAGGACAAATATGAATAATGGATTTATCATTTAGGTGTCACTTTTCCAGAGAAACGTGACTGAAATTCGTTTTTGTTTTTCCTGTGAATTGCTTTAGAAGGACCAAATCCAGGAGAAGCAAACTGTGGCAGAATGTGGTATTTAAAACAAAACAAATCAAAACAAAAAAAACAGGGGTTAGACAAAAAACTCCAAAACCCTTTTTATTTTGCAACTGTTGAATCATAATAGTACCGGATAGATGTGGTAGTGGCGAGGTGAAGAAGGAAATCTGCAGATAATGTGTACTTACTCTTATAAGTTTTACACTGGACCTGGACAGAACTGAAGGGTGGGCCCATGTCGGTTTGATTTCAGCTCTGATAAATGAGTCCATTTTCCTCTGTGGAAGTCCTATTTATTTGAGTGTTTTGATTGAGAGAGCCAATGAATTTCATATCCAACACTTTTTTTAATGATATAGAATCACTGCAAAGTAATTGTGGCTCACTATAGTACGTTTTGCTGGCTAAATCACAGCTTCAACATGATACAGCGACACATCTCCAAAATCAGCTGGATTATTCCTCTCTGTGTTCAAGGCTGTCATGAGTTTATAAGCACTACAAAGATGGCTGTGAGAGACCTAATATGCTTCTACTGCACATTGTTGGAGCAGATACTGAATGTTTGGGCTGAGCTGAAACTATCATATTTTGTGAACAAGATCAAAACTAGAGTTTCTTACTACATATCTAAAATCGTCTGTTCAAAAACTAAATGTAACCAAATAAAAATCACAGCAGAAATGTACTTTTAGTGATCACTTTTATTTAGCTCTAAATACCATGTTTGTGTTAATTACCTGTTTATTTTTGTCTATTGTCTTCTTTCTTGGTATGTCTAATATTTCAATTCTGTTGTTGTTATTGTTGTTTTTTAACTCTAATGTACTCTGAATTGATTTACAGTGATTTGAAAATAAACTTGTCTTGGCCACAGCACAGCTCGATTGAAATAAAAGACTTTCCAAAAGTATTATAAATACAGCAGGATACAGACGCAAAAAGACAGTGTGTTTTTTCATTGCTATCTTGAAAATAGGCCGTCTGTAAACATGTACGCCCTTCTCCTTGTACCACTTATGTGGGGGCACACTGCTCCTAAAATACCCTCTTAAATCTTTTATGAGTTCGAGGGAGGTGTCTGTGTCTGGAGTGTTAACTTGCTTATTTCCGGCAACAACCGTCGAGTCTTTAACCTTACAAGTCTCCAACAGTGGCCTACTTTCTTCGATCAGTCGACATAAAAAAGGTCGAGTCTGACAACAGCGAAAGTAACAATGACACTCAGTCAACACACAGTCAGAGCAGCTTTAAAGAGGAAGATAAAACAGCTCATACAGCAGCACTTCAGTTAAAATTGAGTTTGGCATCCTGAAAATAGCAATGTTGCACCGGATCTTAACAAAAGCACTGTCCTCAAATCTATTCTCATCTTGGGCTATAAATAGAGGAAATCTGAGACTCTTGAGATATCCAGACAGGCTGGAAAAATAAATGTTTTTAACAATGTGGGATATAAAATACTTTGGACAAAGCATGTAGTATACTTTCTTGGATTACTGATAATTCCAATTTTTCATTTCCAATGGCCTCTGCCTCTAGGGTGGGCGCTCTGTCTGTCACCTTGAACAGAGTATCAAATAAGCACAGTGGTCAGGTGGCTTCACTTCATCACTATAGCTTGGTGGACGGTACACATAATAGCACAATAAATAGGTTTCTTTTGATAAATACGCTGGGATTTATTGATACTGTGAGATCAGATTTCCTGCAGGGCAGTACCAGCCATGTACTAGTCTGGTCAGAGTGAACTTTATAAAGAGAACGTGTGGTAATGAAACCCCAACAGGAGCTTTTTTTGCTCTCTAGATAAATTAAAAGCAGTTTTGAAATTCATCCCCATATTGTCTATCACCTCAGAATGCTAATGCTAAACTAAACGCTAAATGCTAAACTGAGGTTTTTACCACAGTGTCAACAGGCAGATATGCTGGATTTTTTTCCTTTGCCTGATTTGATTTGATTTGATTTGACGTAGAATCGAGTTATGCCTGGCAACACACTAGCTGCATTTGAATGGGCACAAATAATTTGGAATAAATGCCCAATTGGAATAAAAAAGTGTCATGTAAACATCTCAATCGTAAGATTCTGATCCAATTCGGCTCAATCGGAAAGAAACTGTATCCCGACCGAGAGGGTTAGTTTATGCTAATTGTTATTCCGAAACCCATTCATGTAAACAAGTATTCCGATCGTGACTCTCTTACCTGACTCGGTCTTCACTCTTTAGCCTTTGGTTTATGTATTGAGGTCAGTACAGGAGGTTTCATTTTCAACACTCTGGCATAAAACACAACCGCAGTTGTCGTATCTGCTCCATGATAACATAACATGGTGTACATACAGCGCAATCAAGTCACATCTGCACGCACAGTGTGACCTTTGACAGAACAGTAAAATAAGTAAGCAAGGGCGCCATCTAGTGACAACATTTAACAAAGAGAAAAATCTTAAATTGGATGGAGTGAGCAACTATTGTTTGTTGGTTTGTTGACAGCACAGGCGTAAATACATCTCTACATGTCGGATCAGATTATTTGATTTGGTGCCCATATAAACAGTGGATTCAGATTTTCCGAGTCCTCAAATGTTGAATCTGATCAAGAAATGTTGCACATGTAAACATGGCTAATGATCTTGAGAAATAAAACATCCAAAGTAGAGTTTGGATCAATAAGATAGCTGTGTTTTCAGTACATTGATTTCACTCTGTAGAAGTTGATATATTTTAATTGGACTTTTAGCTTAAACAAGATGGCATTAAATGAGAGCATGTGTGCATGGCCCACTTTAGATGAACTGTATTACTGAAGCAGGTCAACAAGCCCAGAAAAGAACCTGACAAGGTAACACAGATAGATTTGAAGCAGAAAAATCTGTCTGACTATTGTTGTTATTTTTGTCACATGCTGCCGGCTGTGGCATGAATGTTTAATTCCTCTAAAACTAAATAGTCAGCTGCACATCATAGTGGTAACTTTTGTTTTAAACATAACGGTCTGTTTTGATGACACCCATCTTTCAGGTGAATAAACGATCTGAATATTTGAAAGTGCTGTAACATTAACAGTTATTGATAAGATTTGGATTCATCAGGATCACACAGGAACACAGTGTCACCCCTCACACTGTGCTACACTGGATGACCCTGAAATCTGATCACAGTACTGAAGAATTGTCAAAGCCGTCTTCAGCATCATTTCATGAGACAGCATTGGCAGTTTGAGACTTTCTAAATTAATTAGCACGGTAATAAAGTTTCTTGCTGACCAGTGGGGAATAAGAGCCCAATTAACCTATTTTCTGTATTAATGATCTGTTTTTATCAGATGCGGTCTAGACCAAGTGCTGTTGGCTTCCTCCCACTCTGAAGATTTTTGACGTTGGCCTCTAACAGTACTTGATGACAGTTCAAGTTGAATATAAATGAGAGCAACTACTCACACCTCTACTCCATAAACAAGTGAAAATCACTGTTTAGATGAATCCATCACACAGCATTGGAGTACAAACTGCATCTTGTGCGTGGCTCATATCTCCTCCTCTCAGCGAGGGAGGAGACTCTCTGAACATCTGTTTGCTGTGTCATGCCAGTAGGCAGGGGGCCAGTCTAGCTGCTGTGTAGCCTTTAATTTAGCAGATGTCTACTGTGGGATTAGTACAGTTTTACAAAGAGCAGCTATGACTCCCCAGCTGGGGCTCCAGTAAAAGCCCACTTAAAAGGAAAGCGATACCACCAAGTCAGAGACACAATGACTTAATATTTGCATCAATCCGCTGAGATTATTGAGATTCTACAGCTACTTAAAAGAAACAAAGATACTTTTCATCCAATGAATACCAAACGGTTTATCACATTTTTATTAGAGATGCAGCGATCCATTTTTTTCTGATCCAATCCAATATCGATATCTGGGCTAAGCAAATCTGTCGATATCCGATACTGATCTTCCATGTAAACATTTAGTGAAAAAGGATAGGCAGACATAGAATATTGAGCGAACAGAATCGCTGTGTTGCTGTGTATGGTATTAATTAAAAGGAAAAAAAAGACGGGATGGGAATGCTGGATCAGTGTTATTAGATATCATCAGATATCTGATCCAGTTAATTTGTCAATATCGGAGCTGATATCCAATCCAGATATTGGATCAGTGCATCCCTAATGTTCATACTAGCAGCCAAACCTCACCAGTGTCTTAATTGATCTTTATTTGTAGATTTGAAACATCCTCACAAACCAGTGTGATCAGAAACCATGATTTAAGTAAAGAAACAGCCAAGTGCTTGTCACGTAAAATACAATGTTCAGTTTCATTTTAATAGATTACACTGTTACACATCGAGAAATGTAGTTATGCAAAAATGTGAGGCACACTCGTTGCATCCATTGGCTTAGCTTGTCAGTGCTAGCTCACACTCAGAGGATCTCAGTGGATTGATTTCCTCTGACACGAAGCACATCTTACTTTTGACTAGTCAGGTTGTCAGTGGCTTTATTTCCCATCATGACAGGAGGTGGATACAGGAAGACACTGTGGTGGTGTAGCTACGATACGGGGACAAAATAGCACTTTAAGATAATTTAAGCTAAAGTTATCACCGCATACAACCTCAACAGTGTCTGATGTTTCCGCATTAATGAGTTGTTGTCTTTCCCCATCTGCAGATAGCAACCAGATGAACAACCTGGTGCAAGCATCGACTCTGATAGCGCAGCCTTACCCGCCCGTGGGACAGATCACCAGCCCCTATGAGCAACTGAAGCCTATCAAGGATCTCAACAAGTATGCAACACTCAAGGCTGTGGGTAAGGAGATGATTACTGAGAGTTATATAGAGGTTTTTATTCTGAGGAGAAGTTTATACCTTCTGAAGAAAAATTCACCTGAAATGATTCTCAGGTCATTTAATTTATAAACTAAATGAGCTTAAATATTGCTCGTCACAACAGACATAAGATATAGTTTTACTTCAGACACAGCTCGCCTTGTTTTTCACCACCGTGTAGATGCACTTGGACTGTAGATATTTTGAATCTCCATTAGATCTCTGGCTCACATAAAACCGTTGTCAGTTAATCATCAGTCCGTCACTGCCAAAGAGAGCAAAGCTAGGTGTTTATTTTTAGAAGGAAGTTTGTTGTTCCTCTCATGCGCTAAATGGGGGAGAGTCTGAAGCCAGCGTCTGGACAAGTTATAAAAAATAAGTTCAGAAAAAAGGCCCTGGGCTAAGAAATATCATGGCAAGAGGTATTTTTAAGTAGAGAATATAGCATTGGAGAAATTTTAATAAAACAGTACTTTACATACAGATGGTGGCATAGCTTTCTGTTTTTCAGGGTTTTAAATTCAAAGTTTTCCTTTTTAAGAAAATAAACCCACTTCTGGCTACCGCTGTTGGTTTCTGTGATTTAAATAATAACATTGGCATCAGAAAAGCAAAATAACCTAAAAATGTTCTTTAATTTTGCCAGCACTTATCCTGATCTATGCCAGAAACTTTTTGTGGTTTGAAGAGAAAAAGTAAATAGAGGAGATGCGCATAAGTCAAAGTGTGGAGCGCCAGTATTTGTTGATATGTATTTGATGCTATTTAACACAGTTGAAGTCTTTTTATAGATTCAAGCAGAATCAATTAGCAGTTTTTTACAGACCTGTCCATGGACAGGATGACAGCTGTCAGCTTGTGAGTTGTGGAGTTCAAACACACAAAACTCGGCTTTGTGTTTCTTCTGAGCAGCTCAAGTTTCCTCACTGCTTCTGCACTGAAAGGCTGTCAAAAAAGCCGATCATTACGGAAAATAAAAATAGAGCAAATCTTAGCTAATGAGACGAGGGACAGGAGACAATTGGGGGCAATCAAAACACAAATGAGGTGTTGCCATGAGACAAGATGCAGCTGTACTTTACATAGTGAGCTGCAGTAAAAAATCAAGTACTGTCAAAGTGAGATCTTGCTGCAGATAAAAATCCAACATTTCATTTAAAATTCCTCAAGTGTTTTCAAAATAAGGCAAAAGCATGGGTTTACTTTACACATACACTGAGCCTGTACTGTTTTCATACACTGTCTGCAGCTGACTGGGGACTAAAACAAATCACACTACAGTGATTTGAGAGCACAAGGCAGCAGATGATTATGGGAGGAGAAATGCCAAAAGACAAAATATAGTGTGCAGTGCTCTCCTGGCAAGCATCTTGGCCACAATGAGTCCCATGTGTCTTTCTAAAATAATAATACATTTATTTGCCATCTTTAAGTTGGCTCAATTTTACATAATGGATGACAATAAGGAACCAAGTGAAAATACAAATTTAACACAAAGGTAGGTGGGATGATCTTTGCAGGATATTTCCCTATGATTTAAGACTCACCAGCCTACTTTAACTTTTTGGGGCTGAGGATGAAATATACAGTAGATGTAAAATTGGTATGATGGCTGCATCTGTGCCAGGTGACATTTTCTGAAAAACACTTCAAGAAGATATGAGACAGTTAATTTTTAAAAGTAGAGATTTGTGTGTAAGTTGACATAACAATTAAACACTGTCATCCTTACTAGTTGGCACCAGATTTACTCAGTTTACTACTCGTGAAGCTCTAGTTCCTGTCAATGGCTACTGCTGTTTAAACAAGCACAGATAATAGCTGAAGTGGTTTGGTGGTGCTCTGTTCTGGACATCAGATTTAAAATTGTAAGTTAGCTGCATATGGTCAAAGTTACATATGACCATTTGACCAGAGAGACCAGTGACAGCACAGGTAGACAGGCCTGACTGTGATGTTTGCATAGCTATCTGCAGACTATGTGATCTCATTTGTTTAACTGTTGTCTACAGTGCTCAGCATAAATGAGAACACCTCTTCAGAGTTGTCAGAAAACTTTTAGTTTCCTGTCAAAATCAACATTTTCTGTCAGACTATACAACAAAATACTCCCCCAAATGTAGACCATTTATTGCAAACACGATTTTTTAAGTTGCATACTTTTTTTTTTTTTCCAAATTTAAAATCAGGATGCAAATATAAGTACACCTCAATCAAAGTTCAAAAAGCTAAATTTTAGTTACCATTATCACCCTTATTTTCATCTTATGGTAAATAAAATGTTATGTTAAACTCAGCTTTGTCAAAACTTTGGAAATTGTACTTTTGCTCTAAATATTGAGTCATACATGACTTTTAATAAGGAGTGTATTGACTTATGCTTGGCACTGTAAGTCAGTACGTTTACAATCTTGTCAAAGTATACAAGCATCAGGCAAGGATCAAATTACTGACAGAAACATGTCCGCCGCCTCTATGGTAGGTGCTGATATGCCTCCATTCAGCTCATTACTATCAGGTTGCCATTGTAGTACATATCAAAACAGTCTGAGAAATGTGTTAGCAGGAGGTTAACAGCTCTATGCTGTGTTTTATAACCCTGCTTCCAATGCACTTATATTACTCTACCTCCAGCTCCAAGCCTAGCATGTGAACACTGGAGCATGTGCAGAAGACTTAGGCCAGTTTCAGTCCAATTAAGCTGTATACACGAATAAGACAATCGATCCCCAAACGCATCATGTAGGTGTGTTAGTCTGACTGTACGAAGTCAGATTTAGTGATTCCAATTCAGGGTTTCCACACTCTCATGATTTAACACTGATGGATATACAGAATAAAGGACTGATAACATTATCTTGTTTCTTTCATATCTTGTTTTTAAACTGCACACATATAATGTTATGGCTAAAGGAGGAGTGACAAAAACGTCCATGTTGTTTGTCTGTATTTGTTAGCAGAGAAAGCTAATGACGGCTTCTACAGCAACCGGCGGACAATGATTGAGATGACAAGCAAAACCAGCCTCCCTATGGAAGCTGTGGATTTGGAGCCAGCGCCGAGTAACCCTTACAGCCCACCCAGACAGCTGTCAGGGAAGCCGAACGGTCACAAGCACAAAAGCTCCAGGAGCCGTAGCTCCCAGTCTCTGTGCTACAGCTCCAGCACGGCTGTGAGCCCCGGGGTGATACGATCCTGGGATAGCAAGGACGCGGTGGGACTCAGACAGAGCTACGGCCAGAAGAAACTGTGCATCATTGAGAAGGAGCTGCACACCACCCGCTTCATGCCTCCACAACCGTACTTTGTCACCAACAGTAAGACTGAGGTGACGGTATGAGAGACGGTCAGATCACCAGGATTAAAGCGAGCCTGTATCTAAAGCTGCTGACTGTGGGTGGTGTGGAAAGGAACTGTAGCATCTGCACATAAAGTGAAGCATTTAAGACGCCACGTACAGGTGAGGGCACTGTAAAAGGACTCTGTATCAGTTACTGTACCTCAGAAGGGGACAGTGATGAACATGATTTCATCAGTATTTATAAAACCACTCAGCTAAAACAGAACACTGCACCTATGCTACATAAATGTAGGCCATGTGATTTCAAATATACTCTACTTAATCATCATGTTAAAGCATACAATTTCTATTAAAAACAATGTTTAAATGAGAAAACTTTTCTTATCTGCTGGTATCTATCTATTCAAAGATAAAGTCCTAAGATACCTGGGAAATGACAACATGGTTGATTAGATTTACAGATACTGTTCGAAAGTACTAGGCTTCATTATTTTGAGATATTTACCTTAAATAACATTAACAAACCCAAACTATTTGGTTATTTGTTTGTATTAAAAGATCTCAACCCACACAAATCAACCAAGAAAGATTATTCGAGTAAGATAAGGATAACCAAGCTCAATTATTTTAAAGCTCCTGTGAGGAACTTTTAGTTTGTGTTGATTTTGGAGCCCCCTTGTGGACAAAGTTATACCCTTTATTTCTTAGTTGATTTTTTTTCTTGTACTTGTGATTTTGAAAAAAATCTTATTCTGCTTTCTTTCAAGGGTCAAATGTACGACTCTCATAGTATTTGCAGAAGAAAATTTAAACAAAACTTTTCTGCAGCTTGCTGTTAATAATCACCCTGGGGGACTAGGTTTGAGGCATTAAAATTACAATATGGACCAACTAAAATTCCTCACATCAGCTTTAATCTCTAAAGGTTTCAAAATGAATAATATATGAATAATATCAGTCGTCACTACTCTGTTAAGATGACAATAACTGTCATTGGCTTCAGTCAGAACCGAAGTAATTGCTGTATAAAATACAAAAAAAATGACTTTTTTTCAGGTCTCCAAAATGCTGTGTATCCATTTTAGAGAGTTTTAGATGGATGTTATATTCCTTTTTTTCAAACAGAATATATTGAAAAGCCAGAGCAAGGGTGTAACTGTTTACCTATGAGACCTAAAAGTTTTGAAGGAAATTGATTAAATTTTTGGGGACTCAAGAGTCACTTTTCAAAGTGGTTGAAGTCTGTCTCAATGCAAACCACGTCACTGCCAATGGACAACCTACTGATGCATCAATACATTTTTATTGTTATTGTAGGAGGTGTAGCTGCAGAGTGTTTAACCTGTGATGTAATGGTATAATAGTGCCTCTCATCAGTACCAGCATGTGTGTGAAGATCTTAGAATAACTTGTAGAGACAGCTCCAGTGTTAGTGTGGAGATCAGTTTTATTCTTAGTAATCCATTCAAAAGTCATTAAGAGTTAAGATAGTGTTTGCACACTGTTTGAAAATGTTTCTGTTTAAAAACCTTGAAGATTGTTATTGAATAAGTGTCAGTGAGGTCCAACTTAATGAGGCAGCACAATGGTTGCTGAGACTGGCGCCCATTAGTGAGAGCATATGTACTCACAGTGTTATGATTTGGGCCAGTGGCCCCACATTCCCTAAAAAAACTGAAGAAGTGCACTTTTTGTCACACAGCTCCCACACAACTTAAAGCTCCTATGAGGAACTTCTGGTTTGAGTTGAATTTAGCTGATTTTTCTGTACAGTGAATCAGAATCAGAAGAATGTAAATCAAACTATCAGTATTTCTATAACTTTAAGCCCCTGTGAAAAACTTTAAGTCAGTGTCAGTTTTGGTGCCATAGGGGTAATATCATTTCCTCTACATAATTCAGAAGTGTCTATTGACTTTTGTCAGTCAAAGTTATCTTTGTAAATATTTTATTCAGAATTTTAAAAAAGAGCTGATTCTCTGACATCTACCCCCCTAACACCAGTTTTCAGGCATCAAAAACTACACTTTTAAAACCTTCAGTCTTGTTGCTGATGTTTCTCTCAGCTTTTGGATATCATGCAAAGGCATCAATATGAATTTCAGTCTATTCCATGAATGTCAAAAACCTCCTTATGGGAGCTTTAAGGCCTAAAATGCTGATTATATGTTGTGTCTAAGCTGTGATGCAGCCATCCACCACCAGAGGCTGTAGTTCTGGTTACCTGCTGCTGCTATAGTGATATATTGACATTACCTGAATGGAAACAGTTTTAGATGGCAGATGGTTTCTCATAGCAGACAGCAGCTAAGCAGTATTTTGTCTAAAATGGGTGTAGTAGTAGATCACATTTCCAGTGTTGGGGTTTTTAAGGTCTATGAACTCTGATCAGGATGAATGTAAAAATGCTGTGAAGCCATGTATGTTTTTTTTCTTTCTTTTTCAAGTCTGTTAACACTGAAGTAAATGTAAAGGTATTATCACACAAGTTTATCTCAGTAACTTAACATTATGGTATTTGTTGAACATTCAAAACATGTTGTAATATCAGTCACCCCTTTTAAAAAAAACCAATGGAGTACCAAGTTTTGAAAAAAAAAATAAGTTCCTGCCTCTCTGGGCCACACATATTTCAATAAACAAGGCTGTCTAGTGCAATTGATTGCGATTGGTTTCGCTGGTTTCCAAGCCAAGCAATATAAAAAGAAGCTCTCACCTGCCCGCACGCCTTACTCACACAGCAGACTATTTCGAGCAGCTGAGTACAGGGCTGTCACTGAAACACAAGTGAGAAGAGAGAAATGCAATAATAAAGGTGCATTTATGTATCCACAAAAGCAGATCTGTTCATATTACTACAAACTGTATGCACAATTTTAAAACATATGAATATATAGTGCACTGGACTGTCTGTTTACAGTGTTTCAACATTATATATTTATTATAAACACTTTTAAACTCAATATTGATTTATAGTATGGTGACTACTACTCGATGTTAATATTTTGTGAAAGGGACTTTTTCCCCTGAAATCACTGAAAATATACTGAACTGGGCCGACACCATATTTACACATAAAATCTGCTGTAACACTGTCATTTTAAGGGAACAATGTTATATTTTGGTGATGCCCCATGATACATGTTTTATACATTTCCACAGGTTTACTATCTAATAGAACTATTATCTGAATCTCATGAATGTTGCTCAATCTGTGTAGATTCAGGGTGACTTATATAATTTTATTTGTTAATTTTTTTTTTTTTTTTTTTTTTTAGAAAACCTCTGTGGTCCACAGGAGCTCAAGTAATCCTGGAAATTCACCAAACATTTGAAAGTTTTTCTCTGATTAGTTGCCAGTGTCTTACAAAACTTTGAATCTCTGAAATGCCATTGTAATTGTATTTAATTATGCAAAATCTGACATGATGTTTCATCGTGGTATTTGGATGTGCTGCCAGGAGAAAGGTATCTAAATATAAATATAAATATAATGTGCCAGTAAAGTCAGCTCATTTTTGTGTATTATCTTTACCATCAGAGTGTACAGTTTCTGAACTTATAAAATGTAATCACTGCCAAGTCACTAAACAGATCAACCAATCCATGATCTTATCACTTCTGTTACTGTTTTTTTCAGCTGACCTCTTTGTATCAACTTAACGATTAAGAAAAAACACTGTAGCACCAAGTCTCCATTCTGTGTGTTGCAAAAAAATAAAAGAAAAGGAAACTAATTTTAGAGTCAGAAAAGTTGTTCCAACAAAAGAAGGTTATCTGAAGAAAAACTAGAGCTCGCCCCCGCCTCCCCTTTTCTAAATCCTAAATCTAGCCGGTGAGCTGCCCCCTCCAACACCACACCAGATGGTATCATAACATTATTGAAGCACACCTCAGTGCAGCCAAGGACCACGTCCATCAAAGACCTTACAGTCGATCAAACCTTTTGTTTTACTGTGCTCCATCTGTACAAAATAAAATGTCATCATACTGTACACATTAAAAGTATTTTAATAACTCCTTCTTAAAGCACAGTTGTCTTTCATTTAACATGGCATACAAAAGGTTACACAGGTCAAGTCTCTTTTATCGGGTAAGTCAAGTAAACCTGATATAAGTCGTCAGAAAAACAGTGTCTTAGTTATTCCATTGCTCCATCTTGAGAACTTGTATTAGTTACAGCTTGCAAAGGTGGCATTAATTTAATTAAATGGATCCACCTGATGCAGAGTCATTGTAATTGAGTGATTTGGGGATTAGATGTATCTTAATCGTGATTCTTTTACTTCCTGATGAGTGTTGGAGTAAATGAGCTCTAGGTTTATGATTGAGCTCTGTAAATGTTTGCAATTGACACTGAAGGTGATTAAAACACTGAGACCACTGTCAAGACCAAGCTGCCACCTCAACACTTGTGAAAGTGAATGATGAATGCAGAAACTATTATGTACCTCGCTCCACCTTCATGGCTCCACTGCCGCCTTAAAGCATACTTCCAGCCTGGGTTACCACTTGACAGTTAGCTTCTAACTGCCTGCCCAGTCTCAGCTTAGCCTCTTGTGAATATGGCACCAAGTGTTCTGGTTCATTTGTTTTTTAAGCTGGCCACTGCTGCTGGTTTCTTTTCCTGTGCCATCATTGCAGTCACCCTATTGTGGAGAGCAGAGCCTTGACTTTGGATGCAAAAAGCTGGCTTTCATGATTAGAGGGACATGCCAGCAGGAAGAGACAGTTTTTCACCTCAGTCAGTGTTGGCTGACAAGTCCCTCAGACTCTAAGTCTGCTGTTCAAGGCTAAGGTGTTGCATTACAGATGACCTTTTGATGCAGCACTACGATACGAGGACATGCATGGGCTGTATTGGACAGAAAGTTAAGATCTCACAGTCACACACATGTTCTTTTGTAGCCAACTCCCATTAAACCACAGACCCTTCAAAACCAGACACAAGAGCAGGTAAGAAAAACAGGCACATTCCCTGTCTTTCTACTTGAGCATTAGGTTGGCATTGTCAAACCAATTCACCTTGCTGAATGAGCGCTATGGTCTAAAATCAGGTCATAAATGAAAAATGTCTTGTTTAAAGGAGATCTGACATTTAGAAGTGCTATGTTCATAGTTCTTTGTAGAGTTTTCCTAAGTGATGGGTGACTTGATGTTGGTTTCTTTGTGCAAACAAGTACAAGATTAGTGAAATTCATGCCAGAGTCATGTTGTGCCTGTTGGTGGTTAGTTGTTGGATGGTTCAGGGGATCCAAGTCTGGTTATGTATGTGATATGGTTAGAGGTGGAATTAAATGATATTGACTAGGGTCTGGAGGACAGCAATCAATGACAGGCAAAAGCAGGTGCGAGCTTAAAGTGGTGAGGGAAAATCCTGGATGTAGTGTGAAAGTGCTGCTTACCGTATCCCAATTTAAGCGACAGCACACAGCTACCAGACCAGCCCTGTTGAGGTGGAGCCGATCAGTCCCAAAGAGATGTCTCCTGTCCCAGAAGACATCAACGTTGCCAACAAAGCCCATGTTGTGGGAGCCACAGACTGCCTGCTGAACCACCCTGTTATTCCACAGCCACAGGTGGGAGTGGAGCCAGAGATGTAAACACGCCACTTCTTGGTTGTACGCAGATGTGGTGCTCCTTATTCGTCATCATAAATGAAGGATTGTGACTGGTCCGGTTTATCTGGCACCAGGAGAAAATTCTTTAGACTGGCAGAATGAATAAGTTGGCTGATGGGTCTGGTAACACCAGGCCACTTTAGCACATCCTAATAAACGACTCCTGTTTACAGACTTGATTTCTATCAAAAGTTCAGTTTTCACAAGCCTCTGGGAGCGCCATCATTTTTTTTTTATCAACGCCAGGAGACATTCTCATTAATTAGCAAATGATGTTTCCTACCACCAAGGTGGTTCCCCCTGGAAATTAAATCAGCACAATAACCTCATTCAGTCAGACAGAGGGACAGAGACACCTCCTGATTAGTGGAAAACCTGCACAAGTACAAAACTAAAAAGTACTATAAGACTGTACTCGTCAACAAAACAGTTAACCAGTGAGAAGGGGAGTTTAATCAAATTACATTTCAGATTAACATCCTGAAAACTACTCCAGCCTTTATGAAGTAGACAAGTCTATGGCAGAGAATAGTCACAAACACAATGAGTATTTAAACTTTACACAACTTTCAGCCTCTGTGTTAGTACAGACTTTTAAATCAATCATTTAAGCTCAGAACTATAAGAGAGTATACTTAGACAGACTCTTTTGTTCCACAATACAGACCCTAAAATTTCCTGTGATAGAAATGCAGTGAGATGAGCAGAGAAACAGACGAGTGAAAAAAAAAAAAAAAAAAGGATAGTCAGCATTTTAGGCTTCCCAAGTGGCTTTAGCTCCCTGGCACCCACATGGTCTGTCTTCATCTTGGTGCTCAGATGAAAGATGGAAATTCTGCTTAGTTAATTAAAACCCCTCCAAGGATACATTTGGCTGCAAAGATGAACAGTAAGATACACATATCTCTCAACATACAGACATGCACATTTACACCTGTTTGAAAACCGTAAAAAAAAATCTCAGTATGTTCCATCAATGATTTTAGAGAGGCAAAATTGTATTTGTTTTAATTTGACTCGTAGAAAGTAAACTAAAAAAGTGCTTGATATAAAAGTTTATGCAAGCCTTTGGAGAGTTTCACTGAGATTGTTTTAAGGCTGGTGTCACACTGTCAAAAGTCACCTCACTCAGGTGTCTTCAGGAAAGAGGCTCTAACCTGAAGCCACTCCTGAACCAGGGTTAACATCCGGATTAGTGTCCCTAAACAAGGAGACAGACTTGGAAAGCTGCTAATGAAAATAAAAAAGTCCTCTTTCAAGATAAGCGTGAATCTTTCATTACTTCTGGAAATAAAGGGCCTAGAGTGTGAGGCAAGTGAGGTGTCTGTAGTCTGTAACGATTCAGGGCGCCATCATGTCATCTGCCAGTGTTTCTCCACGTGTTTTTAGGGCAGCTCTCTGCTAACAAACATTACATTAGCTGCATTTATATGGGCAGAAATAAAAGGAATAAATGCCTGATTGGGATTAAAAAAAAAGCGTCATGTAAAGATGTCAATCCGAAGATTCTGATCCAGTACGGCTCAATCGGAAGAAATTGTATCCCGATCGAGAAGGGTGGTTTATACTGATCGTTATTCTGACAGGCGTCAATGTAAACACTTATTCCGATCGTGACTCTCTTACCTGACATGGTCTTCACTTTTTAGCCTTTGGTTTATTTTTTGAGGCCAGTTCAGGAGGTTTCATTATTAACACTCTGGTATGAAACACAACTGCAGGTGCCATGTCTGCTCATCCGATAACGTTACAAAACACTGCGTAATGATGTCACATCTACACGCACAGTGCAACCTTTGACAGGACAGTAAAAAAAGTACGCAAGGGCGCCATCTAGTGATGTTTAACAGGGGGGAAATGCTGAATTGGATGGAATGAGACACTACCGCGGTTGTTGGTTTGTTGACAGCCAAGGCATAAAAACGCCTTTTTTGCAGTTGTTTTTGGCGAAACCAGACAACTCTGCGCATGTCCCAATGCTTTTAATCTGAATAAAACTTGGTGCAGGTATACGCACTTCACGATCGGATTATTTGACTTTGCGCCCATGTAAACAGTGGATTCACATTATCCGATCCCTCCAATTTTTAATCGGATCAAGAAATTTTGCACATAGATGTTGATTTCTTTACCGGGAAAGACAGCTTCTGTTTAGAATCACCACCAAATGGTTTCTTGCCATGTTGAACTGGACAGCAAACTTGCCTGACCTGAGCCCCAGAGAGAATTCATGGGGCACTGTTGGGAGGAAGATGAAAACCACTCGACCCAAAAATACAGCCGAGCTGGAGGCAGCTACCGAAGCAACCTTGGCTTCAATTACACCTCAGCAGCGCCCAAGGCTGACCACCTCCACGCCACATGGCACTGATGCAGTCATTCAAAGGAGCCTCAACCAAGAACTGGGTCTATTAATAAACATACTTTTTTCCTATGCCAGGCTTTGACCTAAAATCACCCAGGTTAGAGCAAAAAATAGAAAATATTATTATCGATTTTTTTTTAAAAAGGCGGGAATATTTCCCTTAAGAAATAACAAATAGATAATCTATTTAAGTTTTTCCCCTTTGAGGTTGATAGTGACAAATGCAAATTTTGTTTATGATATTCTCATTTGTTGAGATGGGTGTGTACAATTCAAAAGACGCTTGAAACAAGAACTTGGTGGGTAAAAGAAAAGTTGTCCTGATCTATAACAAGAAGACAACCTTTAAAAGAAATTCCCACAAAAAGCTACAATGGTTATGATTGGTAGAGAATGGAGACCAACTTAAATCACATTTTTAGAGCAAATATTTTTTTTAATAAATATGTATAATTTAAAGCTCAATGTGTGGTGGATGTGAGCATTCAAATATAGTCAGATGATAACCCCACTAGCACTTCTCTACATCAAATCAACCAATCTTCTCAGCTTCTTATAGAACCAATTTATGACATTTCACTATTTTATTCCAAATCTATATTAACTGGAGCTTCCAAAAATACAACTTTATAGTGTATCAAAGGAGTGGAGCGTGCAGGATTTTTTTGCTTTTTGATTCACAAGCACTGGTATACATTTTCAAGCAAAAGGATAAAATGTTAAAAACTTCACAGTGATCTATGTCCGTTTGAAATAGGAGAAAATATCAATGGTAAAAATCCAAATCCCAGCAGTCAAGCTAGATTGTTAATAATGGTGCAATTTCCTCCACATGAATAGATGCCAGCAGGGCCTGAGTGGGCAGTCAATGCCCCCGAATTAATCCATTTTCCAAGCTAGTGCAGAGTAACATGTCCCTGAACATTTTGCGGCCACAAGAGCTAGCGAAGCAGCTTGGAGCAGAATCTGAGAGTTTCTGAAAGGCGGCACACGAAGATTAGGATAGTGGAGCTCCTCAGAGAGATGTCTACATCACAGACAAA